TTCCGCTCAGTTGTGTCTCCCAGATTCAGAGTTCCGATCTCCAGCGCTGAAGGCTCGGTACAAATTCCGCTTCCGCTAATTTTCCAACAGGAAATTGGACTCTCGAATGTTTCCTCCTCGTATTGTCGGCCTAATTCTACAGCGGAACGCTCCACTCGAAAATTCGAAGCACGCGCGGTCAAGGTCACCTTCAAGGCTGTAGATTTGTTGTAGAGTTTTAAGTACTTTATCAACTAGTACTAATACATGCATGCAGGATGACAATTCGGGGTTAACAAACACCTGCCGCTTTTGCATTCGTTTTCGCGCCGGTGACAGTGTGTGCATGAAGGTGGACAAACATTGAACGTATGTCAGTTGACTGTTGACACTACTTCCTGGCGTAAAGGATTCCCCTGGCATTCGCAACGTCTCGCCGAAGACAAGTTCAGCGGCGGGGCATTGGATGTCTGCCTTGACACAAGTTCTAATTCCTAGCAGAACTAGAGGGAGCGTTTCGTGCCAACTATAATTCTCGCATGCCCTTACGGCAGCCTTAAGTTGGCGGTGAAAACGCTCGACTAAACCGTTAGATGCTGGATGGTAGGCTGTGTTTCGAATACGTTCCGTATCCAGTACACGCGTTAATGAGGAGAAAAGATCGGACTCTAACTGTTGTCCTTTGTCGGTTGTAACCGAAGAGGGACAACCGTATAAATCTACTCAGTGTTCCACAAAGGCCAAGCCACTGTTTCGGCCGTGACGGCAGAGATGGGAATAGCTTCCGGCCATCTTGTGAACCAGTCAAAGCACGTAAGTATATGCGTATATACCTATGACGGTGGTAAAGGTCCAACAATGTCAATGTGCACATGATCGAATCAAGCGTAAGGCGTAGCGAAAGTGCCTATAGGTGAAACTACGTGCCTGTGGATCTTAGCTCGTTGACATTGGCGACACTGTTTCGCCCACATATGAACACCTTTATTCATGGACGGCCAGACGTACCGTGCGGCAATTAGGCGTAATGTGGCCACGATACCTGGGTGAGATAGCCTATGTAAGGTATCAAACACGAGAAGCTGATAAGAAGGTACTATTGGGCGAGGGATGCCTGTTCAGGTGTCGCAGAGGATAGTGCCAGACGTTGTTGCTAGAGGTACTGCTTGACATTGCAACGAGAGTGAACGGGCTCTCTCTTGACAAGAGGTATCGTCTGTCTGTGCTGCAGCCATGACAGAGAAGTCTAGTACTGTGGGCGTTATCGCATTAATGCTAATGCGTGATAACGCGTCAGCAACATAGTTGGATTTGCCTTGTACATGTCAAAGGTCAGTCGTGAATTGTGAAATATAGTCTAAAGGTCTGGTTTCTCGTGGAGAATAACGATCAGACCATGAAAAGCATACGCTAAAGGCTTATGGTCGGTGAGAAGGGTTCCATTAACCAATGGAACGAGTCGAGCGAATCAGGTAAAATACTTGTGATTCGGTGAACGTCTGTACGAGCTTTAGGCCCATAAATTTAATGTTCGACGAATTATCAATCAACGGCAGTCTACGTGAGTCAACGTTTAACTCATAGAACTGCAGAAATCGATACCAAGGATACCTGTAGGAACGTCCGCGAGAATGAACGTCCACGAATACCGTCATCGAAGTCCCAGGTTGACCGCTTGTCGTCGTGCACCGTAAGTAGGAACGGGGGTGCCATTCACAGCGCACAACCGAAGTTGTGAAGCACGAGGCTTGCTGCTACCGACAGGTGCGACAGAAATTTGGGCTTCCGTGTAGACAAGGAACTTGGTGCGTGTGTGTAGTAATCATGGAGGTAAAATAGGCGGCCATCCTGGGGGGTGGGTGAGTGGGTCAGCGAGTACGGCCACAGTTACTCGCCGGTGGTGGCGTTTCCCGCGACGTAAGTGCAAGGAGGCTTACATCTGCGGGCACCTGGTCCATAAGTTTGATGGAACCAGCAATACCCTTCCCTACTCGATTTTGAGGGTTTAGAATTGGGACGTTGGCCCGAGGGGAGGGTGGGCTTAGCAGCCTTAGTGCGCTTATGGTGTGCCCGATCCCCAGTGACGTGTGAGGTGAGTTAAGGGACTCCATCCTTAAAAGATAGGCGCTCGTGAATACAGTGTGGTTTGCCACGCTCTGCAGAACGTGGCGGGGTAGACTGATGGGAAGTAGCGGCGACGAGCAAAAGCTCAGCGATGCCAACCCGGGCCATAATCTTATCTACAATGGAAGCTACCCTATCGAGTGAAGTGCCTTTCAGGAGTGCTGTCACCGTGGTCTGGACGTGGACCGGTAGAGACTCGATCCATAGCTCCCTGACGATGTCCCAGTGGGCATCGTGAGGTCCGGAGAGGGATCTCAGGTGAGCTAGATGCTGACTCGGTTTGGCGTCACTCATTGGATGGCGTGCCAATAGCTTCCGCCGCCATTCCTCCTTAGGTGGGAGGAGAGCATCGATGATGGCTGATTTCAATTTGTCGAAAGGGTACTCCTGAGGAGGATTCGAAAGAAATCCCACAGGGAAGACAGCCGGTCACCCGGGATGGCTTCCAGTGCCAACGCGAACATTGTGCGTTGATTCTTAACATTTCCATGCGCAAACTGCAGTTCTAACGCTGCTAACCAAACCTCGGGGTCATGAGGGACGAAAGGAATCAGACGAAACGCCACCGTATTAAGCGTTAAGTCTGGGCTGGTTGAACGTGTCTTATTGTCGGACGACATACAGTTGCGATTCGATGAAAATATATATATCGTGCAACCGAGACTCAAAACCACAGACTTACCGAGGAAAAAATATTTTCCTACCGGGCTTACCAATTGAAGTAACGTCGACTACGAACGACCTTGACGCACTTCAGAACGGAAACCCTGAGCTCACAGCACAACCAAGTAACAGCTGGTTTACACTGATTTATAGTGTAGTGGCATTAATTTCCCTTTCCAACTCCATTTCCCCGATTTATGTAGCGACCCCATTTTGTTTTATTGTCCTCCTTTTCGAGAACTCGTATGACCTCGACTCTGACACTTTTTCTGGTGAGTTGTGTCGTGCACATTGCTCGCTGTACAATGTTTGCTACAGGTCACATATACTACAAACGTTCTTACCCGACTTCCTTCTCAATTCGTTCTCGCCTTAGGAAACCTCGTTATAGGCCCGATCGATAGAATACGTAGACGCATCATAGCTTCAGCCCGACCTTACGTGTGCTAAATTGGTGAGCCCAACGTGATTGTCTTAACCCGTTTTCTTTCAGCACCAATCGGGCTGAAAGTTTTTCGGTGTGTCTGGTGCTCAGCACAACAAACGACTTCTTTACTTTTTCATATTTTGCGTATACGGCTATTATTTCTTTTACCTTTTTTATGGTTTCATTGTATTTACTATTTTCTCGGTACATCTATTTACGTCTACGTACTTTTGCGTTTTGCGGTTTTACGTTTCGTGGCAAATTATATAGTCGGGTGTTGTTTTACTCATTCGTTTAACATGCACCAGTACACTGAGGCGTACGTTTATTCGGGCATCATATTATCTACTTATTTGTTTACTTGAATTCTCACCACCTGTCATAATGTTTCAGCAATACTCCGAGGGAAAAGAGAACAGTGCTAGCGCAGCACGGGAAGCGACAAGCGTGTTGGGTCTACAAGCGCGTATACCGGAGTTTATCCCAGAAGACCCAGACATTTGGCTGGCCCAGGTCGAGGTCCAGTTCAAGCTTGCTAGGGTAACCAATCAATTAGCCAAGTTCATTCAGGTAGTTGGTTACCCTCTGTCTATGGCCCCAGGCATGCGCGACATTGTCTGCAACCCACCCACAGACCGACCATACGATGCCCTTCGTGACGCGATTCTGGGCAGATTCGGCATGCCCGTAGAATGTCGCCTTAAACGGCTTCTAGGTGGCCTGCGCCTGGGAGACAACGGCCTCGACACTCCAACAAAATTTTTAAGTTATATACAGGGCCGCAAGCCTGAACATCGACGAAAATATTCTCCGTTTGTCCTGGATACAAGCTCTACCAAAGAGCTTGTCGTCGATCCTGAAGTATTTCGGACAACGGTATACGTTATTAGAACACGCCGAAATGGCTGACAGGGTGTATGCCGACCAGTTGTCGGTCCAATCCATCACCCAACCAGCGCCCTCCTCTGACAACGCTGAACTTGTAGCTTGCGTAAAAGCGTTAGTCGCGCAGGTTCAGGCGTTAACCTTACCACGCGACGGACCTCGACAACGACGTCGCCCCAACCACCGGAGCCGCAGCCCCAGGCGTCATCGATCTCGTTCACCGTTATTTGCTGGTATCACCGCCGATACGGTGATGCCGCAAAGAGGTGTCTCACACCGTGCACCTACACCTCCAGGTCGGGAAACTAGTTGGCCGACCGGCCCAGGCGACGATCGTGTCCAAGTGCCCTATTTTTCGTCACCGATAGACACACCGGGATACGCTTCCTGGTTGACACAGGCGCACAAGTCAGCGTCATACGCTCTCGTCCCGCTGACCTCCATCGTCTCTCTACCGTAGAACTGGTCGCTGCGAACCGCACACCCATCAAAACCTACGGCGAGCGTTCACTCACACTGAACCTCGGTATTGACGTAGCTTACCCTGGGTATTCATTATCACCGACCTTTCTCAGTCCATTATCGGCATAGATTTCCTCCGACATTTCAACCTCATGGTTGACCCCGTTGGACATAAGCTCATCGACCGTCTCACCACCTGTGAGACCCGCGGGACACCTACTGCTGTTTCATCAATTAGCCCCCTTCTGTAATAATAATAATGTATATTTCACGAAGCCCGTTAAGCATGCACAGAGCATGATCATATGTGCAAAATAGTCATATGTACATCAAAGGTGCAGATGTATAGAAGGTCCAATTAGAAGATATACACAATGGAGACGGCGGGGGACCGGAATGGAAACACAGTGCAAATGGAACACAAAGCGGACAAGGTCACATACGTTGATTTGTAGTGTAACGTTAGACCCGTTGAGCACGTTGCCGCCATTTTGGATTGAGTGTGAGTCGTGTGCATGTCTCACTGGACCTTTTGGTTCATGATTGTTTTTTATTTTCCCTGTTTTGCAGATTGTTTTGGAATTTCCCTTCCAAGGAGAACCTGTCGTCCGAAGTGTCTCCTTTCCGTGCATTGAGAGAGTCTGTACTGGGCTGCATTTACCACCCCACAAACAGGATTTTGTTAGCAACATTCTGACAGCGCTATTGGCACCAGGAACTCGGATCGTGTTATCCGAAATCAACCTCCTGCCGTGTATTACGAATCGGTGGCAGCGGTGGGCTAAGTCCTCCACGTTACATGGAGGATGGAGGAATAAGAGCATGTCAAACGAAAAGTAAAGGGAGAGCAAACCTTGTATCGAGAGGATTCGATGCGCGGAATTAATGAGAGATATATACGTATCGATGGTCTGTGAGACTAAGAGCTGAAGGAGATGGAGACTCGTGGATAGAAATGATTGCAAAAAAGGGGTATAGCAAGTTTATACAGTTCTCAAATACATGTTTCTCTGTCAGCTGCATAACAGCTTGTTTCTTAGAGCACATTCATTTGGGTTTCGGAGCTTCGATCGGCAATGGATTGATTTGAATTATTTAGGCGTTGGTCGCTTTGATGTGGGACTGACTACACGCTAGACACCCAACCTTAAAACACCTTTTAGGTGAGGCAGGGGTGTGATCATCAACCTCGTCCGGAATGCGGACGCATGTAGTCTGAACGGTGGATATAACCGCGCCCAACAACCATTGCCGGAGCCAACGCGTCCATTGTGGCTGCAGAACCCAAGCCTTCGGCAGGCCAAAACCAACCGATTCTGGAACAAGAAGGCGAAACAAAACAGTCGGGGATGATACCCAGCTGACAAGGAGTGGGACAAAAAACAAGTCACGAATAATATGCACCGTGAAATAGTGCGAAAACGTATATGTACCCACAAATATATATCAATGTATACACGGAAATTAGGATATAATAGGTAAAGCGCATGCACCTAAAGGAAATTTGTTCCACAGGTCTATCTTTGAAGCTGGATCTGTGTACCGATATGAAAATTGTTTGAGAAAGTGAACACTTCTACCTGGTGAGCCGGTGCCATAAGGTGTAGCCAATTAAGTCGAACAGAAAAAACATCAGTGGAACATAAAGCAAGCAATAACCGGTCACGATACTTCTTCCAGCATGTACCAGCAGAAAATTTGTTCCACAGACATAGCTGTAAGGCTGGGTCCGTGTTCTGACATGAAATTGGCTGCGAAAGAGGACAGTGCCATCTGGTAGGCATGTGCCACAGCGTGTAACCAATTGAGTCGAACCAAATAGAGATCAGCAGCATTAAGTCACAGTGCTTATACAAGAATGTAACTACAGAGAGTTTGTTCCACAGATCTACCTTTTAGGCTGGATCCGTCTACTGATATGAAATTGCTTGAGAAAGTGGACAGTGCTGTCTGGTGAGCATGTGCCACAAGGTTAAGCCATATTAAGTCGAACCGCGGTTCGACTTAATTTTTGCTGCGCCCTTCAGGCCACATCTAGGGATCAACATCCAGGCGTGCCCATTGCTGCTTAGGAGGGATGTCAACGCCATTGAGCGTGCACAACGGAAAGCCACCAAACGAGTATAGGGCCTGTCACGCACACCCTACCCGGACAGACTTCGTTTGCTTTACTTGTACAGCATGGAATATAGGAATATAAGGGTCGACCTGATCCTCCTGTGGGACATACTAATCGTTCAGGGGCACCCTAACAGGCATTTTTTCACGAAGGTCCCTCCGTCAGCACTGCGTGGCCACTCCATAACACTAGAGAGGCAGCGTCCCAGACTGAGAGCTCGGGAACACTGTTTCTCGGTAAGTGTATGTCGCCCTTGGAACTCACTGCCAACAACAGCAGTCCAAGCTTAAAGTGTATTGATCGATCTGTGAAAATCCTTCCTGTAAAGCCCAGTCATTCCATCTCGGTT